GTCTCGATCCTGGAAGATTCACCACACTTCTACAGCACGGTGTTCGGTCTCGATCCTGGAAGATTAGCCTTCTGAAGAGTCTGCGAGGGGTCCAGTTCCTTTCAAGTTTCCACGCCCCACTGTTTCATCAGCAAGTCATTCGTTTCTGCCTGCCCTGGCCCAGTGTGTTTTAGGGACTCCAGTACTATCTGTGGGCTGTCTGGATGGTTAGGAAATACTTAATGGTTTAGAAACTTGGAGATCGTTTTTAGTCCTGCTACTTTCAAAACTCACACCAACAAGAAGGTTCTCCAATCAGTAAGTAATCAAATCTTACAAGCAAACAAAGCAGAATTCATTTAGTAACAGAAGTGCTGATGAGGGGAGCTGGCTAGCCTAGAAAGACTACCTGGTCAGGAAGTATGAATTAACCCAGCATGCACATGTAGTGAGGTTTTAAACATGACTAGGTAATGACTGAGGTCAATAATGGCTTTGAAGGTGTCAATCCCAAGAGATTCTAGGAGCTACCGTGTGGGGAGAAGAGGGGCCTCCCAGACCTTGCTCAGGCACGACGCTCTTCCTTCTGGCAACCCTGGAGGTTTTGCTAAAAGAAACGTGCCTTTTGCTACCATCAACCTGCAACTCTCAAACCCAAAAGAGCCAGCGGATGAGTGAGACTAAACTTGCAGATGGCATTCTGAACGGCTAGCTGGGCAATCCGGAATTGGTGGCCCGCAGATCTGAAGCAAGGCTGTTGCTGGACTCCTGAGTTTGGAAGTCGGAGAGACGGGGTCTCTGTACCGGCGTGTGAGCTCTGGGCTAGTTCTGGGCATTCAGGTCCAAGACAGGGCGTGCTGTTATGCACAAACCAAGGGGGATTTCTGAAGTTCCCCTTACTGAACTACACTCAGCCAGCTCTATAAAGGGCCACTCGGTAAATGCACCCAGCCTCTGGCTTCCATTCTGACTCAGCCACCCTATAGGACAGAGTTTCAGGGGCTCTAAATCTTCACAGCAGTAGAAACTCTCATCCCCGCCCCCCCCCAAAGTGGCTGGTAGTTTTGAACTGCTGACCTTGTGGTTAGCAACTCAAAGCATACCCCACTAGGCCCCAGGGCTGCTTAGCCCCTAGCGTCAAAATCCACAATCAGACTCACTGCCCTTGATCAAGTGCATTTTGACTCAAAGCAAGCCCATAGGACAGAGAAGAACTGTCCCTGTGGGTCTCGAGACGCACTCTTTATGGGAGTGGGAAGTCTCAGGGGCTGTGGTTTAGGACTGCTGACCAGCTCACCAAGTAGCCCATTGTGCCACCAGGCCCCTCGCTTAAGAGATGCACAGAAGGCGCTGATATTTATCAAGTATGTCGCATGTTTCATTTTTTCCCAACTACACTTCTAATAGCCTGAAACAGGTTTCCACACCCCCATTGTACAGATAAAGAGATTCTGAAAGACCTAACTCTGACGCTGTCACAGAGGGAGACTGTGCTGAAGCCAGTAGTAAGCACAGGCTGGTGTTCACACAATAAAGATTGCGTACTGATTTCTTCCTGAGAGTTCCTCTCAGCTGGATCAACAGAAGACAGGAGCATAGATCACACAGCACCCTTTGCTTCACTGTGTGCGCTTCTCCAATAGACTTATACTTCTTGCACACAAAGACAAAGCTGTTTTTAGACTCTGAGATCAGCCATGTAGGGGTCCCATGTAACAAAATATCTATTTTTTAATGGATTAAATTAGCCGTAATTTAAACTTTAAAGACATTATGCCCAATATTTTAATTAGAAGCATGAATCTAGCCCAAGTTAGTAATTCTGACCTTCCTCAATACAAAGATCTGTTTGTGGTTAGCAATCCTAAGTCAAGGGCCAGAGGGAATTCTCCAGAGTTGGACTGATTCCCTCTGAGGACCCTGCCAAACAGATTTGGGGCTTTCACTATCATCCATAGCTGTCTGCGAGAATCTAAGTCCTGATACGTTCCCACCTCTGGATTTGGATTTTAGTAGTTACGATCCTTGGCGCCCACAGGCTGGCCTGCTTCTTTCACATGGACTTAGCTGACACCTCACTTAGAGGGATGTTGGTTTTATGGCAAGCCTTTAAGACCCCAGACACTATTCTTCCTGATAGCTGGGCACACCTGCTTTTCTTCACTACACTTTGCCATACAACCGAAATCTCCAGTGATCTCGTCATGAGGGCAGGTAGCCAGGGAGTCAGACCACTCGTAGATCTTTATTAAGCGTCACAGAGTTGTGACGAGAAAGACAAGAGACTCACTGTCCACTACTCCTGTCATTGACTGGGTGGCCTGCGGGAGCACAAACAACAAACTGTTACCACGTGTGCCACGTATGGCATTTCACCTTCACACTTCCAAGGGTAGGAAGGACGCCCTCCTACCACTTTGTACTAAGGACATTTACACAGGGCTGGGGAACCTTCAGATAGCAGAGCAGACAAGAAGGAACAGGTTCTCTGCTACTGCTTTTCCAATCTGCTCATGTTACAATTACAACCAACGGACTAGAGAAGACAGTTCTTACCTTGATAATCTTCCGGTCTGTTCTTGTTGGATCCAAAAATCTTGATGGTAGGAAATCCCTGGACACCATACTGTCCTCCTAAGGACTGATGTGTGTTTGCATCAACGGCACCCACTTTGATAATACCCTGTGAAAAGGGCAAGGGAAGTTTGGTTTTCTTGCAATTGCATTACACCGTGTTTCACAGAGCCCGTCATGTGACTTACGTAAACGCCCACACAAGACAATCAAGGGCAGGTGAAGTTAACACAAAATGTCAAGAGGGTGTTAATCTAGAAAACCATCAGGACAATCTTAAAATGAAACGGGGTGAAACGCAAGACAGCCCAGGAGGAGGCACTGTCTGCAAACCCCCAAATAAGGAGGCACGAAGGCATCGTTCAGCCACACGGTGAAAGAGATACATAACAACCGACCATATCAATAACTGCATGTCGATGACTCTTTTACACGAACGCCTGACAATGGAAAAGGGTCCGTTTGAGCCTCAACATGCAAACCAGCTTCTCAATGTCCACCGGGGAACACATGTGCAAACGCGCACGGTGCATGTGAACACGTCGCACACTCACTTTCAATGCAGTTGCTGCTTTCTTCCATTCTGGGGTTAACCTCTGGCAGTGGCCACACCTTCAGGAGAAAATGAACAAGAACACAAAGCAATGATCATTACAGTAGCCTTTGGTTCTCAATTACACAACTACACATTTCAGCCCAGACGTCTTCAGGGAGGTGCTGGCGTGGGGCGTTGCAGGGAGCACTCACAGCAATGGGGTGTCCGTGACTGTTGTGACCTTACAAAAAAGACCACGTGGTGACTCTTAGCGAAGTCATGCTTCCTATCATCCTGATAGGATAAAATTTCAAAGTTTCTACTCAATTATATCTAAACAGTTTAAACAAACCGTACCAATTCCTAACACTACTCCTGAGCAGGTCCTTCTGGGAGTTCACCAGGTCCAGTGTGCCTCCAAGGGTAGTTGATGTGGTAAAACACAGGCAAGGGCCCCCCCGAACTCAGATTTCTAAGAAAGAGGCTCAGGAAGCTGCATGTTCATAAGTTCCACTACTGATTCTTAAACCTATTTAAGTTTACTTTCCCTGACCTAGTCCAACCTTTGCATTTCGTAGGCTGGACACCTGGATTTACAGCCTAGTCTCCTGAGCTGCTTCCAAGACAGGTTGCTTCTAAAGATAAAAAGCACAAATTGATGTAAGCTAGTTCCTCTAAGAAGTCAAAAAGTAGGTGCTACTACAGGCGTTAACAAAAAAGAGAAACACAAGGAAAAATAAGCGCGACCGATTTTAGATACTATGGTTATTAGCTGCCATCAGGCTGGCTCTCAAATCTGGTGACCAGGTGCACAAAACAAAATGCTACCCTGGCCTACGCCAAGGCATGACAGTGCAGATCAGACTGTAACCCACCCAGCTTTCTGCATGGTGATCACCAGGCCTTTCTTCCTAACCCATCTTAGTCTGGAAGCTCCAGTGAAGCCTTAAAGCATCACAAACCATGCAAATTTCCACTAACATCCAGGTGGTGGCTGCACTTGAAATGTATTAACTGGGACTTGAACTCAGGTCTCCCAATAGAAAGTTTAAAATTTTACCATTACAGTACTCCCCAATTCCAAAACGGATCAAGGCAAGTGCCATCATGTTGACTATAAATCTTTACAGCAGCCTACAGCCTTAGCTTCCTCCCAGGGCGTGGCTGGGAGGTGGAAAGGCCATTCTTGTAGTCCACAGGCCAGCCTTTACCCCACAGGGCCACTGAGGCTCCTTGCTCCTTCGTAATGTGGAGTTTGGGAACAGACAGAAGCCTGAAGAGACAAGATCAGGGCTTTCCTGTGACAGAGTAAAGCTCCCCAATGGAATTCTCATAGGACAGCCTTTGCTACCCTTGAAGAATGAGCAGCTGCACCGTCTTCCGTAGGCACAACTTTCTTGGCCTTTTGTTCTTGGCCAACGCAAATTTCAATTTGCTTAAAGTGTCTTTGTAATAAGCTCCTGTGGTGATCCTATGTCCTCCTCCAAGAAATTCTGACCAAGACCAGAACTCCCCAAATCGTTTCCATCGGCTTTTGAATGTAACTGGCCTACCACATCCCCTTTGAAGCCACTTTTGACGGGACTTTTTTTCACCCGAAGGTTCTTACTGAGAACTTGTCCGCAAACCTCTACGGATCAGAGACAAGTTTAAGCACATTTTGTTTGCAGTAATCATGCACGTATGAAGTGGAACCCTAGAAGCAATGTTTTTTGACTTATCCTTGTATATCACACATCAAAACAGTATTTTACAATTTTATACACAGGATTCTGGCAAGATGGCAAACTAGGCAGATACACTACCCAGACCTCTACGACCCATGCCTGACAAACAGCGAGGATCACCTGGAGTCCTGAGCTTCAAAGGGGAAGAGAGAGAAGTGGATTGAATATTGACTAAGGGAGAAGCTGAACCAAAGCGGTGAGGGAGGAGACAGACAGACAGACAGCTGCACTGGCAGCTAGCCTAACACGGCCCAGTCATCTTGAACTTTTGCGAGCAGTGTTCAGCCTGTATGTTTCTAAGGCCCCTTCAGGCTGTAGGTTAACTCAACTGTTCACCTTCGTTATTTTCATTCACTGTATTTGTACACCATTCACATTCAGTGTATGAAAATATCAGTTTACAGTTTATTTACGCATAGGTTATTTGGTGTATACAGTACCTAAAATAAATTCTCTTTTAACTAGCTACGGGCCTAGTAAGCAAAAACTGAGCTGTCATCATGATGGGCCTTATTCGTATTTGATTTTAGCTGTCCAAAAGTTGTCCTAAAGGCAGGCAATGCTACCATCATGCCACAGTTGATTGGGATGTACACCTGTCACACGATAAAAGTTACAGCGATTTTCATGTCACGGTCATCTTTCTCTTTAGACACTGTTGATACCCACCTCTACCTCTACATTACAGCACTGCTGACTAAGTAAAGATGGACTAGCTCTGCGAGACTTCTTCACTATTTGGGGTCACGAGGAGGCAGTCTGCTTCTCTAATGTTTTGCAGCCGTGGAAACCCTCAGGAGAAAGGCGGCCCTTTCTGTCCCCAAACTCCCTTAGGTTTTGTTTATTGGCCTACATGCTTTATTTTTGTAAGCAAGAAAATTTGTTTCCAAAGGGATTCAAGTCTCCATCAGGTTGCCAGAAGAATCCAGAGCAGAAAAAAGGGGTTAAGGTCAGCCATCTCTTTCTCAGAATACCATGAAGTGAAGCTCTGTATGGGCACTGATAATTATTAATTACACGACCCAGATCTTGCCTTCTTATGCTGCCTGTACCGTTTTATTAACATGAATGTGCTGACCCACACAGAAATGATCATTTGGATTTAGCATAACCTATCAGGAGTCTTTTTAAAAAGGGCATCAAGATGAATCGTTTTCACACTGCGACAGCTTCTGGAGTAGAGGCTTTGCACCTCACTTATTTTTCACGTTTAAAAAGATCGTGTTTACTCTTTATTCTGATTAAAAGCAGTATTCTACAGGAAATAATTTAAAGTTCCCAATGTCCACAATTTCTGGAGCCATGGAAGCAGATGAACCCCTGAAAATATTGCCCCAAGATCATCTTTAAATCTTAAAACTAAAAAAATCCCATGCAGTCTGAACACTGAAAAATAGTTCTGCTAAAAAAGAATTTCTGCCTTGGGCACTAAGCTCTTTGAGGATTTAGCTCTATAAGCGATCAAGGTGAGAAGGCCACCTGAGAGCGCCAGTGAAACCTGCCATCCCAGGGACCTGCACAAGGCAGAACCTGCCAGGGAAGAGCATTTCCGATACTTCCCACTGAAACAAGCAAGGGCAAAGTGGCAAGACCACACCTCGCAGGGGTAGAGAACTTGGCAGACCCGAGAAAACAAAGCAATCTTGAGTTCCAGTTCTCCAGGTTTCCCTGAGCACAGTAAAGATACAGTACTGTGCTAAATGTTTATGTAATTAAATATTTATTACAAACAACAGTACGTAGAAGAGTAGAGTTCATCAATGAAAATCATGCAGAATGTACAGGAGATCGACACTGTTGTGAACTCTATCAAGCCACAAGACCCGAGCGGGATTAACACCGCCAACTCCACCTGCTGGGGAGGATGAGCTGAGTGGTCCCACCCTGACGCCTCTGTGGCTGTGGTGAACGTGCAGCAAACGCGCACCAGTTCACCACCTGCACCCAGTCTCCCCTGCCTTTTGTAGCTGCCTGGCCCCAACAGAAACCTACTGCTCCCCGGCCCCCCGCCCGCCTGCCGGATTCCTCTAATCTCTATTAGAAGTTTTAGAATTGTGTACCATCCATTGTATTCTCTCCAGCGATGGATTATTCTTGAGCCAACAGGAGAACTTAAAATGAAACCAGATTTTTCCTAATGACATGGTTCCAGAAACAATCCTCTTCAACCAACACAATAAAGTCAATCCTTGCGGGTTCTTCCACCTCCTCTGCCCCAAGAGTCCTCCTTCAGAAAAGTAAGTTTCCCTTTTATCTCCATGCTGCTACTCTCAGCACAAGTTCATATCTGAAACACTGGGAGTGTTTCTTTCTTCTTTCTGCCAATTAGCTACTGCTATTACTTTTATATTGTCTCTGTCTCCTTGGCTTTTAATGAACTGTAATAGGCACGTTGGAGAATTTCCCATTTCCTGCCCAACTTCATTTTAAAAATCAGGAAAAGCTAGATGAATAAAATCATACTTTAATATAGGTAGTATTTTCTACGTAACATTTGGTGAAGTACTATAGATAATCTACAACTATGTTACAACACTTACCATGGTGCATAGAATTCTACGAGCCACAAACTGTCGCTCTCAATAACTTCTCGGTTGAAATTTGATGGCGTCAGTTCGATTACATCATCACCGGAGGAATAGAGACCACTCACGGCCAGATAGAAGGTACAGCTCACCAGACCTGGAGTAACAACACAAACAAAACACACCATCAAGAGGAGGTTATCGCCTGCCAAGCAACAAAGCCTTCCACACTGGTCAGCCTGGGCCAGCTGTCTCCAAACCTCTCCCAGCTCTGAGTAGCCCCTGGAGTTTCACTCCCAGCAGGACGGACAGCCCTGAGCAAGAAGGGAACACAGTGCCTACTCTCGTTCCCAGAGCTGCAAAGCAAACCAACAGAAATATTGTGCTTTCCATGTGGTAACATCTGTCTTTTACCACTCCAAGGGCTGCTGGGGGTGGCGATGTGAGGTGTCATCAAGCCACTTCCGGCTGACAGTGAGTCTGTGTCCAGCAGTGAACTACCGCCCCGTTGGGACCATCCTCACAATGGTTACCCTGGAGCTCGTTGTTACAGCCTCTGTATTAGTAGGAGGGTCTTCCTCTCTCTTTGACCGTTCTCTACCAAGAGATGTATCTAAAGCATAGGGCCTATTTATTGACATTTTCTGGGTGTGCACAGTGAATGAGGAGGCTGTAGCTAGCGGTGACCATGGAGTCCACCAAAAATTTATTCCTGCTGTTATTCAGATGTAATATTAGTGCATGCCTTTTATTGTAACACTTTTAAGAAGGGAAACTAATTCTCCACTTTCCCCCTAGACCGTGCCTTTAACAGGGGTAGTAACTTTCTTTTTTATTTCGTCTATAACTATCCTTTGGTGATTGCCAGGCACTCTGAATTTTGCTGGGTGAGCTTAGAAAGCATTTTACAGGAAGTTATACAGGGAGCCTTCACAGTTCAGCCACAGTATGGAACAGGTGTATTTTTTCCTTCCACGTTGTTTTATTTTTATATAAACCGTTCTCTTGTTGACCTTAGATGTGTAAGGTAACAACCGGTGTCCTCACAAACAATAAAAGGAGCTCCTGGTGTGAAACTGCCATCAAACCAGTAAGAACACGCTCAGGGATCCATCATCTTCAGGACAGGTGGCCACCTGGGCTGATTCCCCCTCAACCACCTTGCCTCCCTGTGTCCCAAGGCCCAATCGCTCAGTCATTTTCCTGACGGTACCTTTGGTAATAAAACTCAACCTTGTATACGGTGGGGTCAAGGGTTTCTCCTTTATACCAAGTATTGATAAGCATGGGTCGCTTTAAGTTCAGGGCACTTAACATGTGCCCCCTAAGTCTGATGGATTGTTCGTATTTCAGTTGTTCCCTGTGAAGCCGAATCCATCCAAGCAGGCTTTGGTAACCGCCCTTTCCCCTGACTCCTCCTTTCTCCTTCCTGTTCAAGTAACGTACTACCTGAGTTCCCCGGGGGCACAGACTGTGGGCAGAGGGGCTTTGCATTTTCCTGCTTTCTCTTCTCATTTTGTTTAGTCATATTGGAAAAGTACTGCAGCTCGGGACTGTCCCCCATGTGTCCGGCAGACAGACATGCACTGCACCTGGCGCAGCCTTCTCATCTGTTGCTTGGTGTTTCTCTGTTCATGCATCTCGATGGTCTTGTTCATTTGCATTTTCTCAGCCTGCTGTACCTTATTACAGCTTGGCCTGCAGACCAGGCATCTTTTTTGTCTTTTCAAAGCATTTGAGCTTGTTTCTCTTGGTAACCCAGACAGTACCCCCGGGGCATAACAGTGTAACCCGTTATGCTCCTTCTGTGGCATGTTGAGGGCAGCAAAGCACCGGACCTGGTCTCTGGGTGAGAGGAACCGCTCAATTTTTGAGGCTGAGACCCACAAGCTGACTCCAAGTAGCCCACGTGGGGAAAGCCGACCAAGTGTATTCTTGTTGGCTATTCTGGAAGCTTAAGAACAACTGTATTGGAAAGTAAATTCTGAGCTGCCTTACTAATAATATTGTAAGAACACAGTTCTTCAACTTGGTAATGCTATCCAAAGTTCACCTCCTTTTAATTTGTAGGTGTCTTATGGCCTTATCTTTTCTGATTAATATATCTGCTTAATATATCCAGAATAATGCTAGATACTAATATTCTTGGCTTGTTCTTTAACAGAAATGTCCCCAATATGCAAGATGCTAACTTTAGGCTGAAATAGATGTTTGCATTCCATTCTAGAAAACCTGTCTTTTAATATTCAAAGATGAAGTTATCTTTTGACACAGTAAATTATAAGTGGAAACGGCCCACCCTCTAAGGCTGTGTGTGAGTGAGCCGCTGCTTAGATTTCTGTATGCTCACTTCAGAAAGAGAATGGACATTTCAGATGTAACTTGTAAAAATAATTCAAAGATCAGTTTCTTCTGGAAGGAGCATACACCAACGTTGACTGTCTTACTGCCAGACCCTCCACCATGTGGAGCAGTCATGTGTGTCAGCGGGCTGGATTTGTTACAGCAAGACCTCGGAAGACTAGAATCATCCCTATCTTACATAAGACAGAGGCAGGAGGGGATCAGTGGGCTGTGGTCACACACACATCCAGTGAAGTCTGTGGGCGGAGCAAGCAGTCTAGCGCTTGGCTCCGAATCCACCCAGAAGTACCGGGTAAGAAAAGGCTGGAGACCCTTTCTAAAGACCGGGCCACGAGACTCAGTGCACAGAGGTCTGCTAGGAAACACACGAGCCCCTGCGAGCTGCAAGGGCTTTGAGCAGCTTTTTGTCTTGATAGCAACAGTGGGCAGACCTGCTTTCTAACTCGTTTCTAATTTTCCACATTAAAGCCATGCCATATTTTTAAGTGCTCAAAATACAATGGGCATGAATAAGCAATTTATTTTAGACAATTATATTTGAATTATAGATGCTGCCAATATTTTAGGAACTTAAACTGGGGATTTGAAAAGTGCTGGGAAGTCACAAAAGGGTTATCGTACAAGGGCAGAACTGAAAGACAGTTCTACTGCCATGTGGAAGGTGGGATGGAGAAAATAAAATGGAAAGCCAGGAGTGGTTCCCACATAAAGGGTAAGGTGGAATGGGTAACAGCTAACGATTACTTTGGGAGGTAACACAGAAAAGACTAAACATTGTCCACTGAATGTAGTGACAGAGTTGGTTGGGCATTATTAGCTTTTTGGTGTTTTTAAAGCCAGTCATTGGGTTGCCAACTTATAGTGTAGACACACACACACACACACACACACACACACACACACACACAGAGTTTCTGAAGCTGGAAATCTTTAGGGGAGCAGAGATCCTCATCTTTCTCTCACGGAGCAACTGATGGGTTTGACCCACCAGCGTGGTGGTTCGCAGTCCATCACGTACCCAACAGTGCCAGCATGGTTCCAATTGGTACACAGTGTAGCGAGGAGCCCATTTGCCATAGACTCGAGAGTGGGAGGGAACACGTTGGAGAGAGTACAGAGAATTCTTTAAACACCTTTCATTATAGACAGCGGCAAATGTAAGGCAGAGGAAGGTTCTTAAAAAGACGGGAGTGACCACAGCCTAAATGGAAGAGATTTACAACTCTATCCAGGGAGCAGCACAAGATGAAGCCCAGGGAATAATGGACCATGCCCTGAGTCAGCAGGAATGGAGGGAGTGCAGTCCTCCAGGATGGCCTCCTATTCCAATTCCAGTGCCGGGAAACAAATGATGGAGGTAAAAGCGACTAGGAGGTTGTACCTCTATATGCTGTCCAATATGGCAGCCCCTAGCCACACACAGAGATACTGTGGTGGTGCCATAGGTTATGCGCTGGACTGCTAACCACAAGGTCAGAGGTTCAAAACTACCCGCAGGCTCCTCAGAGCTTTCTACTCTTGTAAAGAGGTATAGCCTTGGATCCTACAGGTGCAGTTCTACTGTCTTACAGGATTCATTATGAGTCATAATTTGACTCAATGGCGGTGACTGAGCCACACACAGCCACCCAAACAGATGTGCTGAAGTATAAAAGGCACACCTAATCTCCAATATCTTGAGTGGTTGGGGGATTTAAAATATCTCAATAGTATTTTCATTTATCTTTAATAAGAGATATGTCAAGACTAGAAGCAGAGACAGCTCTAACTAGGAATAAGTTTGAAAGTAAGATCGAGGTTGACAGAAGTTGGTTCTTAAGACTGGCCTGGCTAAATAAACCTCTAAGGATCTTACTACTTGTGTTAGTCTGGGTAGACTAGAGAAACAAATTCACAGACACTCATATGTGTATAAGAGAGAGTTGTGGGGTTTGGGGGAGAGTTTTATATAAAGGTAATATTGCATGAAGAAAGCATCCCAACCCAGTCCAGTCCAAGCCCCTAAGTCCAACAGTAGCCCCTATGTCTGATACCAAGCTATAAAGTGCTCTTCAGACTCAGGAAACATATGCAATGTGGTGAATGCAGGAGGATCACAGGCCGCTGGGTGTGAAGTCTTGTACATCCAGTGGCACTGTCAGCATCTCATGCTGGCAGGGGTCTCCACGTAGCTTCTCCAGGTCCACGGTTCTGGCTGCATCACAGTAGGTTCATGTGGCTTCTCCAGCTCAGGACACTAGCGTAGTTCCATGTGTCTTGTCAGCTGCAATGTCTCCCAGGGAGTGAACCACAGGAAAGAATGTCGGCTGTCTCCAAGGTGGTAATTCCAGAGTTTTCCCAGAATCCTCAGGGGAAGGACATGCCCACAGAGACTTCATTGGCTGTGTTCTGATTGACAGGTTAGACTCCACCCCTACATTCTTAAGCCTCAAATTGACAAACGATTATATAACTCCCACACTACTTTTAAATGTTTATCTTTTAGGAGGGTAAAATGGATATATGTATTGATATTAATTCAATACATTAACTCAATACCTTCAATTTGGAAAAAAGCCAAAGAAGAGTCAATAGTCCTGCATGAATGGTCAGTACCTTGATGAGCACCCTCACTGACGGCAGTTCTAGCCACCGAGTCAGAAGCTCCTTGACAGCAGGGAGTTCTTGTTTCAGTCCAGTGTTGCAAGAAGATTTTGATGTTCCCTTGAATATGCTCAACCATCTTCCAGAAAGTGGGTTTTTCTTGGCATTACAAAATAGTAACAGCACAGGCCTACCTCGAATTGTTATCAACTTAAATTTAATTGCACACGTCTGAGGTATGCCTGTAATAGCTAATATGTATATGATACACAAGGAACCCTGGTGGCCCTGTGGGTTAAGTGCTGAACTGCTAACCACAAGGTCAGGGGTTCAAACCCAAAGAGGAAGCAATCTGTTCCTGTGAGGATTTACAGTGTCAGAAACCTTGTAGGGTTGCTATGAATCAAAAGACTCAATCAAAGTGGGTTTGGAATTTTGAGTATATGACACTTGCCATGTACCCGGCAGGCATTGTTCTAAACTCTACAGTATGAACTCCTTTAACAGAATGAGTAACTTACTCACATAATTAAAAAGATACCTACAAGCAAATTTTCTAACTAAAGGACTGTGAGGTTGTGAGTTCTTTCCCTCCTCTTTCCACTAAGGGCCAACAATAAAGAACGTGGCTGTACTTTCCTCTTCCGGTTGTTTCAAGCAATGCGGGGCCCCAAAAGAGCTGGACCCATTTTAATTCAGGAACGTGCTTCCTTTCCATACTGAGATATGGAGGAGAACAGGGGGCTTGGCCAAGTTTTTTTCCTCTAGTTAGGATAATGGAGTTTTGTTCATTTTGCCCAGTCTTCAACAGAGTACCCTACTTTTAAGGGGCTACTCAATGAAACCGATAAACTGAAATCCTTAAGACAGTAAGACCTAGTACAGATAACAATGGAATGAAACAGAAAGATGATGTATAAACTGATCATAGAGAAGTAGACAATAACACCTCCCGCTGCAAGTCCCCCAAACACAACACCGTGGGCTCATTTAAAGTGGTAAAGTGGGTCAGTGCCGACCAATAAAATTGTTTCTAAAACTCACAGCACCACTCCACTCACTGATAATGAGCACCGATGGGAAATCGGAGTAAGTGAGCGTCCAGAACTGATGAGAGCAGATGGTTTTGCCACCTGCAGCTTTCCCATTCCTCCACAGTATTGACAGATGTTATAAATCCACATCAGCCATAGCCTGGTTCCACCCACACCTGCTGGCAAGAGCAGACAGTCCCCAAACAGCCTTCAAGTATCCACGACGGTTTCCAAATGCCCGCCCAGATTTATTAAAATAACGAGCTAATTAACAGAATCTCAGAATGTTCAGGAAATAAGTCAGAGTACACTCACAGAAAACTACAGCGACACTAAAACCCTTTCTCCTCATCGATTCTTCCTGGTGACATCTATGTCTTGTCTACTCTCTGGCAAACACCTTACACGCACATGTATTAACTCACGTACGCTCAGGACGGCCACACGGAATACCATCATCAGCCCCATTTTATTGCACTAGTGGGCTGCGGGACTTGGCTCAGGTCAGGCCCAGGGGCTGGTCAAGATGTGCTGTCACTGATAGTCACAGAGCTTGGACATGGTCAAGGCAAGTCCAGGCCCT